GTCACACAGAGTGTTGGACTGGATGGGCCACTGGCCTGGTCCAACTTTGGCTTCCCTTATGTTCTTATTAGTAGTAATGGCCGTTAGTATTTGGATGGGAGACCACCAAGGAAGTCCAGGGTCGCTCTGCAGAGACAGGCAATGGCAACACAAATCACCTCTGAACGTCTCTTACCCTTGAAAACCCAAAAGGGGGTTGCTATAAGTTGCCTGTGACTTGGTCTCTCTCGCTCTCTAGTGCCTTCTCCCTGAGCGGTTTTAACGTTTCTGGGTATCTCCATTCAGACTGCTCCCCTCGTTCCTGTACAGTTCCCTCATTTGAAATCAAATGTTACAGTTCTGGACCTTGGGGGCAACTTTCCATCGATATGAAGGCTGAACTCCATAGCACTGAGGTCGCTGTTCTCACTGTGGGTGCAACAGGAGGTGCCTCTTGCTCCCGGTCCCACGCCCTGCTCAGAATCAAGGGCAGGGCTGCTAGGCCTGAGCTTGGCTCTGCCACCAAGCCTTCCATCACACAGTCATTTATGTCTAAAACCCCTTTTTTGTAGGGCATGACTCAAGCACGCGTTTGCTCAGCCGATGTGAGGGTAGGTGACGTCAACCAGCATTACAGCCCTGTGCTCCCTCCTTGTTTCTCCCCCCACCCCACCACGGCCATCTTTCGGGTATGTTGTAGGGCTCTCTTTTGGCTGTGCTCCTGCAGAGTGCAGGGGGTGGGACTAGATGACCTGCAAGGTCCCTTCCAACTCTAACATTCTATGATTCTTTTCTACACAGGCAAAAGAGTTGCACGGTACGAAATTGTTGGGTGATAGTGAGATATTGAAGAAATGGTATTTTGCAGAGATAAGATAGTCCAGCAGAGCCAGAGCAAAATAATCCAGACTGAGAGTCCATGTGTGATTAACATATAAAGTTTTTACTAAATTCTAGCATGGGAAGGAGGGTAACTGGGATGACAATAACAACAGAGCATAACCGGCTACATCCTTACTCCACAAAGACAAAACTAGAAGAGTGTGATTATGGCTGCTCTTCTTGTTCTTTAGAACGCCAAACACAGACGGGAAGAGAAGCCATAAAATGGTAATACACCTTGACACTTTCGTCCCAATCAAATTTCTGGATCAGGGAGAAAATTCCCGGGCTTCCTACATCTAAAGAACATTGGTTACATGAGATCACGTGACTTCCTGTGAGTAATGTAAACAAACATTTAACCCCAGATATACTGAGTGTTTTCAGCTTGTAATACCCAACAGGGAGTCAGGGGCAGGAATCATTCAGGAGCTGCGCAGGCTGGGCCTCCTGGGAGAAGGGAGGTC